AAGGGTAGTTAAGAGCTTCTATTACTCTTTAAGTTCAGTTTTCTCAGCCGTGAAGTGGGCACACTAAAATCTTTCTTGGCAACTTACTTTGCCTCTATACACTTGACTCTTTTATCCATAAAATTGGTATGGTAATAATAATACCTACCCAGGAAAGGAGCTGGAAGATGAAATTAGTTTTAGATGTAAATTACTTACTCAAATGGCTGGCGCTTAGTAAACATTCAATATGTTTAATCCACTATTATTATTCACTCATAGAATTAGGTAAATTCCAGACATGTGATTTATATTAACTAATTGATGGCTATTTTTGAAAAGCAATTTCTTAGAGCAGTTTTAGGTTCACAGCAAAATTGAGAGGAAAGTACAAAGATGTCCCATGTCCCCTCTTCCCCCACACATGCATAGGCTCCCTCATTATCCACATCCCCACCCAGAGTGGCACATTTGTTATAATTGATAAGCCTACATTGACACATCATCCTGTATTGGGCCGTTCTTGCATTGCTGTGAAGAAATATCTGAGATTGGGTAATTTATAAATAAAAGCTGTTTCATTGGCCCACAGTTCTGCAGGCTATACAGGAAGATCTGGAAGCTTACAATCATGGCAGAAGGCAAAGCAGGAACTTGCACATCACATGGTGAAAGCAGGAGCAAGACAGTGAGGGGGAGGTGCTATACACTTTTAAAGAAAGACCCCGTAGAATTCACTTACTATGGTGAGGACAGTATGATGGGGGATTGTGCTAAACCATTCATCAGAAACTCACCCACATGATCCAGTCACCTCACACCAGGCCCCACATCCAACACTGGGGATTACATTTCAATATGAGAGTTGGGCGGAGACACATATCCAAACCATATCAATCACTCAAAGTCTATAGTTTGCATTAGGTTTGACTCTTGGCCTTGTATGTTCTATGGGCTTGGACAGACTTATAATGACACGTATCTACCCATTACAGCATCATTCAGAGTAGTTTCTCTGACCTAAAAGTCCTCTGTGCCCCTCCACATAGCTCCCCCACCCCTAATCCCTGGTGACCACTTATCTTTTATTGATCTATAGTTTTGCCTTTTCCAGAATGTCATATAGTTGGAATCATGCAGTAGGTTGCCTTTTCAGATTGGCTTCTTTCACTTTGTAATCTGCATTTAAATTTCCTCCATATTTTTTCATAGTTTGATAGCTCATCTCTTTTAAGTGCTGAATAATATTTCATTGTCTGGATGTACCACAGTTTATTTATCTAGTCACTTACTGAAGGACATCTTGGTTGCTTCCATAGCTATTATTTTTAAAAGCAGAAAGGACTCCTCTAGCTGAAAAACTAAAGAAGAACTTATATAGTGTGATTTCAGAAGCCTAAGAATGTTCTGTTTACCCTTAGGAGTTTCTCTTCTACCTTGAAATAAAGCCTGCTGTTTCTCCAACAAAGCTTCATTTATCTGACTTAAAATGTTACAATGAAAATACTCCTAGGAGAAATGTTACTTTAAGCATCATTAGCTATTTACACATCAGAATGACTGAGTTTTATATCTTGTTCTGAGAAATTTCCCCAGAGGTAGAGGAAAACAACATGAGACAATTGGCAGCAAGGAAAACAACTTCACCTGCTCCGCGATTATAAATAACTTATGTGAATATCAAATTCAATGACATATAGAATGGTTTCAGTGTATATCCTGCAATTCCCCCTAATGCCCCAATTGAGTGAGCAGGTCTTAGAAGTTTTACAAACATAGGCAAAAATCCTCTTAATTGACCCTCATTGGACATCAAAATTATTTTGGTAGTTTTAAATACTTGTCAAATGAGAGTTATTACTGTTTTGGGAGGGCATTTACTTTTTGTACTTTTCGTGACTGGAACTATAGTTTATGAAAAAAATACAGTCATTATTCCTTGCTCCTGTTTCTCCCTCTCCCCAGACCTTGCCAGGGCACCCAAGACCCACACATCCCTCCCACAAGGCACCCCAGCCAGGCCTGGGTCCGCCATGAAGGAAGCTTTCATGAAGGAAGCAGAAAGATCACACAAAAACTGCATGGTACAATGAGGAGATGATCTGTTGAGAAGGAAGTGAAGATTTCACTCAGCTGGTAATCAAAAACTGAGGATCTCGACCCACTTTTCTGCAAATGAGCTAACCTTGGCAAGTGCTTCCATGCCTTTGGCCTCAGTTTCCCCGTTGGTAAAATAGGAATTGGTTAAGATAACTTGTAAGACAAATCCTCTAGTTCTAAGGTTCTGTGGTGACTCTTTGACAGGTTTGTACCTAACTGAATGCCAGGAGTCATTTGTTCCTAAGATTTTATACCCAACTAGAATATAAACTCCTCTAGGCTAGGGCACAAGTACTCCCCAAGTTCCTGGGGCAACCCATCTTTCACTGCCTGCACAAAGCAAAACCAGTGAAGTTGGTCTCCAATGACCCCAGCCTCTCCTTCTCTCCCCTAGGATCATCCAGGTAGAAAACTGTGGAATTCTAAGCCTCACTTGGACAAGTTTTCTACATTGTCCAAGCATTAATTTCTTCTTTCATAAACTGAAGATTATAATATCCATCTTACTGGGCTTGTAGTGAGAATTAGTTTTTATAATGCATACAACTTACTAGCACAGTGCCTGGCATATATTGGCAATTTTCTTTTCCTTTTGACTTTATTGCCTCGTGATATTCTAAAAACTAGAATTTTAAAATTCTAGTTCTTCCTCCACATTAAAGGAACGGAAATGGCGTGGTGAGACTAAAACTCATTTGTATTGTGTGATGGTTCCCCAGGCTTCTGTGGGGTCCAGCCCTTCATCTTTAACTGTGGAAGGCTTTGACTGTTCTACAAAGAATCCCAAGCACGTAGGGTGCAGGTGGCAAGAAGAGTTCTCTTGCTAAGCTGGGGCATCTCTCCTGATTTTGAGCTCGAACTTCCTCAAAGTCAGTGCCTAAGTCTAGTTGAGTTTTTTCTAGGAAGCCAGTGAGTCAGAAAAGCCTGAGTGGGAAAAAATGGCAAATCTCCACCAGCTCCCTGCACCATGTGCCAAAAAAGACAACTGTCTGGGCTCCCCTGGGAAGCGGTGGCAGCTGCTGGAGGTTCTTGCCTGGGAACTGGGAGTGTGGAGGATGAGGTGCTGGCATCGAGGGTTGTTTGCACTGATTCCCCCACTCCTTCCAGCTGGCTACAGAGGTTTGGGTGAGGAACAGGTGGAGAGAAGAGAGGGAAGAGCCAGGAGCAGCTGGACTCTTGCAAGGCTCCCACAGAAAAGACTGTTCCAAGATCTGAGTACTTGGGACCAATCCAGGGAACTCAGCCCGGGTCACTGGCAGGGACTCACACCCTGAGGCAGTCCAAACCCCTTTGCATGGTGTCCTGAGCTCTTCCCAACATGGCTGCTGCCCAGCTTCACCTCCTGCCACTTCCCCCGGGTCAACTTCTCATCATCTCCTGAGCAGCCTCCATGTGATAATGGTCCTCTCAATCTGAAAGGTCCTTCTATCCTACACTGTATTGAAAACTCTGACACAGTCTCTAAGATCCATCTCAGGCTTGCCTTCTTTGCCTAGGCCTAGCCTCTCTGCTCTGAGCCTCTGCAGCATTCATACCTCCATGGCAGTCTTCACTACCTCCTCATAGCCATCTGTTTGCATGGCCTGCTCCTCCACTAGGGTGGGAGATACTTGAGAACAGGGACCTTGCTTGATTCACCCTGAACTCCAGCGCCAGCCTGCACTTGGCATAGGATAGGTGCTCAATGAACGTCTCTTAAACGGATGTTGAGCCCCAGTTGCAGAAGAATAAAAAAAGAGAACTTGGTCTTCCCACTGTGGGGCCATGAGTACAGCCAAATGAACCAAGATGCTCACAGTACCAAGAACCTAATCAGTGCTGGCCCTGGTCAGAGACTCTTGGAGGATTAACCAAATATACAAACTAGAAACACAACTCAACTATTTAAAAAGAATACTTACTTTAGGCACTTTCTTCCATATTCAAAATATTTTTGTCTTGGCCATTGTAAAAATCCTTCTATTGTAATAGCAGAATTTCGTCCTCAGATGCCAAGGAACCTTACAGTGCAATTCACCCCCTTCCTCCTTATTTTTATAATCCTGGAGAAGCAGCTGGAAGGAGAAAAAAAAATCACACACTCAGATGTACTCAGAACTCTGTCACAAAACGGACATCAGAACTGCTAGCCAAGGGGTATTTTTCTTTAAGAAAAACTCCAAGGCCAGGCACGGTGGCTCACGCCTGTAATCTCAGCACTTTGGGAGGCTGAGGCAAGTGGATCATCTGAGGTCAGGAGCTCAAGACCAGCCTGACCAACATGGTGAAACCTGGTCTCTACTAAAAGAAAAAAAAAATACAAAAAGTAGCCGGGCATTGTGGCGGGCACCTGTAATTCCAGCTACTTGGGAGGCTGAGGGAGGAGAATCGCTTGAACCCGGGAGGTGGAGGTTGCAGTGAGCCGAGATCACGCCATTGCACTACAGCCTGGGTGACAGAGCAAGACTCCGTCTCAAAAAAGTAAATAAATAAATAAATAAACTCCACAATATATCAAACATGCAATAGCATTTCCTAGATTCTCTATCCATTTCCCTTCACCCGTGGAGGAATTCCAGATCTAATCATAGGCATTTATGGGAACCACTTTCATTGATGCCTAATCACCATGTAGTAGGAGAACTGTCATGTACACCACTGCATGTGTAAGATTAACCTTACGTTTTACCGGATTATATGTTTCACCTGATTATCACATTAAACTTACAAAAGCACACTCAGTCTTCAGCAAGTTTGTCCACTCTGCATGGCTGACCACTCCTAGAGGATAGTTATCTGCTCACGCTTTAGAAAAACTGGTCAGAGCTTTGTTGAGAGTAATTTTTGATACCTCTTCTGCACCCTTCACAACACCTGGCCACATGCTTTGTGGCCATGTTGGAAGACTTCATAAACATCTGCAAAGATAGTATACTTATTGAGAGAATATGGAGCTCACCAGAATACATTAAGAGCTTGCAGAACGCTCAGTGGCCAAGCTGTTGGAAGACTCCCCAGGACTTCTAATCTGGCAGGAAGACTGACACATTCCTAAATGAGACTTTGAATAATTATTTAAGAGACATGTGATTTTAATTGTTACCTTTGGACTTTCCAGATACTGCTAAAATAACAATTCTGCCATTAGCACCTTAGCCCTAGGGTAGAAGCGAATTTCACCTGGAGCAAACTTCCTAATATGGAGAGGGAAGGGAAAGTGCGGGGACATGGAGAGATCTGGGATGGGAGGCAGCCCCAGTTCTGTCATTAACTGGGGATTTGGGATGTTTGCCCACTGGGCTCCTGCTCTGTAAGATGCACTTCATTTAAGCCTTAAGCTGCTGGTCTTCTGGGATCACTGAGAGCAACAAAAGGTACCATGGAGGTGAATGTCGTGAGCTAAGTTCTGTGATTGTGATGGGTTGGGAGGGTCAGTGGGGGTCAGCATTTAATTAGTGTTCAGGTGTAACCCATTCCGCAGTTACTTGTGGGTCAGAGGTTTGCTGAGGGAGGGAGAGACGGGACAGGGTCCTAAATGCCACGGAGAAGATTCACCCAACTAAAACTCACCCTCCCTTCATTTGCCGAGCACAGCATAGTCTCCCTGCTTGCCTCAGTCCTTCTAGGCCTTCTGAATCTTCTCTCAGACATCTCTCTCTCTCTCTCTCTCTCTGTTTTTTTGTTTTTTGTTTTTTGTTTTTGTTTGTTTGTTTTGTTTTTAGCAACGTGGTGCAGCTGATGGATTAGACAGTCCTGACATAGGATTGAACCCTTCCCCATTCCACCCAGTTACACAGAGGACACATTCCTGAAACACATTGTGTTAACTACAAATGTAGGACCAGAGGAAGTCTGTGGGCTGAGGGCTCAGGGCAAGGCAGCCACTGAGGCATGAGCTCAGGTCTCCTTTCATGAGAAAACCTTGTGCAGTGAGTTCCCGGCCTCAGGGCAGCACCTCTTCCCAGGCGGCTCCAGCCTGTGACGGAGAACAGCAGGGGTACTTGGGTCTGGCCATTTCTGCCCAACATGGGACTCCTCCAGCAGGACAGCCTGGCTCTGCATGGAGCTCCAGATAGGGCTCACTGGACTTTCTCAGCATTGCACTGCAGCAGAGGCTCTCCCTGCTTCATCCTCCCTCCTTCCTCATCCCCTTTCACAGGCATCAGACCTATCACATGACCTAAAGCCCTTCCCTGCCTGCTCCTATTTCTCGTCCCCTTTCTCTTTCGCAGTCATTTCCCTCCTCCTGAATTACTCACACTTCCGATTGTTTTGGTGTCTGCCTCCCAGAGGACCTGAGCTGCCATCCAGCTATAGGCTCAAGAGAGGAGAAATTTATTTTAACTTTAAGAGGTTATTTTGATTCAAAATACAGCTCCATAATGTTTTACCCATAATTTAAAACTCAAAAATCTCGAAAACACCAAAACTTGATCTGACTGTATATGAGGCTATTCGAATCAGCAATTATTCTACTTCATAAATTATGAATAACATATTTATATTAAATACATTTATTACAGAAATATTAATGTGATTGGTTACGGGATGCTGCTTCTAACTGATGGGCATATCATATGCAGTGTATGTATTATATGAAATCTCTAATATCTAAAAACATCTGAATTATGAAAAATATCTAAGAGTTGTGAAGAAGGGATTGTAGACCAGTACTATATACAAATTGAAGTCTATGAAGCAGCTCATCTCCAAAGGAGAGCCCATTGAACCACGCCTCCCAGTGATGGCACCGGCTGCTCCAGACGGCCTGCTGCTATCATCATGCTAGCTGCAACCAGGAGGCATAGCTGGGACTGCACGCTCAGTGGAGCTGGTGGGAGCTGGGACAAGCAAGAGCCCTGCCCCCCTCCCCCTTCCAAACTGGGGCAGGAGCTCTCTGGGTGCTGCTGCAGCTGCCCAAACTGCAGCTGTAGACTCAGGCCTCCTGCTCTATGGAGCAGGAGGGATCCCCCTACTCCAGGGCAGGGCTGCAGCTTCCCAAACCATCACTGTGGATTCAAGCCTCCCTGTGCTCTTGGGGAGCTTCCCAGGTGCCACTGCAGCTGCCCAAACAGACATCGTACACCCAGGCTCCCACTGCACTGGGCAGATAGGAGTCCCACCCAAAACGCAGCTGCAGACTCAGGCATCCCTGCACTCCTGGGGGCCCAGGGAAGGCTCTCTTGCCCTTGCAGGCTCGGAAGTGCCTGCTCCTCCTCCTCCTTCTCTCTGCTATTGGCACTCCTTCCAATCTGGGAGAAGTCAGGCCAAGCCTGGGTTCCATCAATGGCAGCAGGAGGCATACAGGTTCTTGGTCAGAAGGGGTCAGTCCCGGTGAGACCCTACTTTCAGGCCAAAAAGGGCCTGAAGACTGGGGACTGGGCTGCCAGTCCGACAGACCAGAGTGGGGACTTGTGGTGCCTTTTCCAGCCCTTCCATGGCGGCCCATGGACCAATGGGCACACATTTCCTCCCTTCTAAGGTCCATAAAAGCCCCCAGCTCAGCCACAGCAAGCAGAGGATGAATAAAACAGAGACACAATGGGAAACCAGCTGCAGAGAGGAGCTACCCTCTCTGCTAAGAGCTTCAGACACCTGCAGAGATGTCCAGACTACCAGCTGCAGAGAGAAACAGTCCTCTCCAGGCATCCTCTCTGGTGGGAGCTTGATACTTGATGGGACAACCTGCCTACAGAGAGGAGCCACCCACTGCAGGTCTCCTCTGAGCTGTCGTAACACTTAATAAAACTCCTTTTCATCTTGTTCACCCTTCACTAGTCTGTGTACCTCATTCTTCCTGGATGCAGGACAAGAACTTGGGCAAAGGCACCACCAGCCACAGAGGTTTCCAGCCAGAAAATCGACACCCCAAAGATCCCATAACACAAGTCCTCATGCCCTGGTGTGGTCTTCTCACCTTGAGTCTGGGTGCTTTATCTGTAGAATGTGGCAGAAATAATACTGTGCCAGTTCTGAACACATGCTTTAAGAAAGTTTAGCAGTTTCTACTTTTATACTTTTAGATGATCTTATCTACCAGGAAATCTGGACAGACCACATGGAGAAGCTAAGTGGGCAGGGAGAGGTCCCAAGATGATTTGAGGAGGAGAGGCTTAGCCATCCCAGTGTCCCATCTGAGTCCATCCTTCTGGCCATCCCCACACAGGAGCCAGACTTAAGGCCACCTTAGATGTTCCAGCTCCTGCCATTAGACTACAAGTGGCATGAGAGACCCCAAATGAGACCAGCATAGGAACCATGCAGCTGAACCCTGTCAAGGCACAGAATCGTGAGAAGTCATAAATCACTGTGAGTTTAAGTCACTAAATTCTGTGGTGGTTGTTACACAACAGAAGATCACTGAAACACAGTTCTAAAACCCATGCTTACAAATGAGTGAAATGTTGCAGAATAGGAAAAACACCAAAAAAGAAAAAAAGAAGCCAGATAGCACTAAAAATAGGTCATAATAACAACTTCCACCAAATAAATGCCTCTTGTGTGCCTGGTATTAGGCTTACATATATTACCTCATTGCAACACTGAAAAGAATGCTTTATTATCTCCATGTTACAGAATAGGAAACCAATGCAAAGAGAGGTCTGTGACTCTGTAACAGAGGTGGGATTCACACCTAGAAATTTCTACAAGATTGACACCTCCCAGCTATTGGGGCCTTGTAGAAATGCATCCCTCTCCAATGAACATGTGTTCTCTCTGCTATCCTGCATCTAATCAACCAGTGACTGCACCTTCACCTCCCCTCTGGGGACCAGTCACCCCACTCTCAATGAATGTGCTTTGGGTGGAGTTCTGTCCTTGTGATCTCAGCTTCAGCTTATAGGCACATCCCATTGCCCAGGACACAGTTCAGGCAAGGGCAGGGATAGTGAGATTTGCTGGAAAATACTCTTTCCTTTCCACACTAGATATGGTGCAAGGGAATATGCCCCCTGCATCTGCTCTTCAACCTCATCAAGATCTCCCAGGCTCTCTCCTCTCAGGCTTGTTGCATTCTAAGCATTTTCCTGAGCATACCCTTCACTGCTTTCCTGGAACATCCTTTCTCCAGCTTCTCTTTTTGTCCAATTATTTCTAATCCTCAAGACTTTATTCATGAATGCTCCATTACTGGATATCCTGCAGTGAGGGGATGGGCCTGGGACTACCTTGGTAGTCCCAGGCCCATCCCCTCACTGCAGGATCTGAGTTAGCAGTCCTTGCTTTGTGCTTCTGTTGTCACTAAATATACTGTGTTATGTCACTGATCATATTGCTGTGTCACCTCTGGCCTATCTGCCTGTCTTCTCTACCATTCTGCAAATTCCTCAGGGCATGCGGCATGTCCTAACTCTCTTGTATCCTTATCACTTTGCACAGTGCTCACTTTGTAGATGACAATATAAATTAAATGAATGGCTGAATATGGATAAACAATGTTAGGGCTACCAAGACCTTCTTTGTCTAGTGTAGATCTCCCTATGGGATCAGCAGCAAATAACCAGTGAAATATCAAATTCTGCTTTCAGCCTTCCAGGTGTTCCAGGTTGTTGATGGTTGGCATTGGCAGGTGTAAGGGTTGAAATATTTGTTCCTATTGAGTTTGGGAGATGACAAATAACATCTTCCAGTCAACTGAGAGCTGAGATACAAGAACAAGAACACGAAGATTAAAATGCTAGTTTCATCACAGTTAAAATCAATTGGAGAACATGACTTTAATTCGGTAACTAAGTTGGCCTTTCAAACACTCTCTTCCATAGGAAGAGTTTGAGTCTCCAAAGCAAACCATTCAGAATTGCTTCACGGCAGAGAGAAAAGAAACAAGGGAGTTTGCAGCATTTTAAGAACTTTGATTCACAAAGCATTCACAAAGCATAGACCAAACGATGTTAATTTCTTGCAAATCCAGTTGATCTCATATCAACCCCTCCTCTCATGTGGAGAAGTAAGAAGGGGCACAAGGAAGAGACTTGAAGTGTCACCTAGAGGAAGCCCCTTTTGGAATCTTGAAGCCCAGGACATGTCTGTACATGATGTGAAAAGACATGGAGAAACTGGGGGCTCTGAGGCCCAGAAAGCTGGTGTTGTGTCCACTGAGAAACATATATGTACTAGTTTCCTGGATTGTTGGAGGGTACAACCAAGATACCCAGTGAAGCAGTGATCATGAAGTGCCTATATAAAGGCTTGAAAACACTGGTTAGAAATGTAAAACTATCCATTTTATCCACACAAGCAATACATAGAGAATAACAATCCTCTCTGATAACACATCCAATGATATTTCTGAAACATGAACACTTACAGTTTTCTTTAGTTTATTTGGATATGTGTTAATTTCTTATTTTTAATGGAAAATGCTGAAATGTTATATTACAATGTTCAGGCTGAAATAAATGAGGGTTTTTGTTTTTACATTGTTTTGAAAACTTAGAAAAGTACGACCCTGCCTCACTTTCTATTATAGCTTAAAATGTGGCATGTAGTTGACTGATTCATTTAAGGCTCAACTTTCTTCTTAGGTTACAAATGAGGGAGAAAGTTGAGTTATATTAAAAATGAACTTGGCTCTGAAGACCGAGATTTAAGCGTCTTGGTCTTCTAACTTCAAGACATCTACCTTCCCTGAAACTCAGTTTCCTCATCCCCATCTATAAATTGGGGATATTAGAATATCTACATCCTTGGATTGAAATAAGAATTAAATGGGACAAAGTGCATAGAAATCTGAAGGACAATAGGCATTGAACTAGGTGCTTGATAAATGTTTTTTGAAGTAGTCAGCAGGTCATCCCCTGGTAATGTTACCAAACCTTCAGGGGCCAGGGGATGCTGGGGAAGTCTGACTTCCTGTTGCTGGAGTTCCTTCCCTGGTATAGGCTTGTCTCTATGAACCCAGCACAACTACCAGTGTTGAATTACAGAAGCATAAAGGCTGAGCGTTAAAAAGAGTGGGAGAAAAAAATTAAAAACATTTCTAAGGCCTTTCTCTTAAGCCAGGAACTAAGAGCGTAAGATTAGAACAAATGCACTCAAGATTTAAGGACAAATGGACGATGGGGTCCTTGGGAGGCAAGTCTTTTCTTGTAGCCTTGAGCAGTTAGCCAGTGGCTACACAATGTAAGAAACTGTTCATTCCAGTCTGAACATGGTGATGTGACATGTTAGCATTTTTTCATTTAATAGTCAAGTATGTAATATCAAGTATGCCTAGAGCGAAATGTGTCATGCAAGCTGCAGGATACATGCTATATACCCCAAGTGACAAGAATGCCAGATAAGAGAAGATCTGAAGGTATAATCTTTGCCTGTCTGAAAGTTTACTGCAACCATTTGTTTACAAGTCCACCTTTTTACAGTTGGAAGTTTGGAAGGTGAACAGAAAGAAAATGACTAGATAACAAGACAGCAGCACATTTCTCTAACAAGTTTTCATGGTTCTTGTATCAAAGTACAACTGAACACGATGAATCCTAAGACGTATTTCAAGAAAGATGTAATCATAGACACCTATCTTCACATTGCCATTCAAATTTTTTCACTTCTTAATTTGCATATGCAAATAAAGGACTTGCAAATGACTTGGTTACAAATATTATTTAAATTATATACAAGATTTTAAGTCCCCCGAAAGCAGGAATTATATTTTTTTAGACATTGCATCCTCTTTAGCATCTGCCTACAATGTCCTGATAGAATCTCAAAACATATTTAATTAATATAAATAAATTTAAATAAGCTTTTAAGTATAATAGATGCCAAATTGTTTTCCATATTTTTCTGCATTGTTTAAAAGAAAATGAGATGTGATAATACACATAGATTTTTGCTAAATGTAATTTCTAAATAATAGATATTATCCTTCCTCTATGGTGCTTCTTGAGAGTGAGTTTGACACAACCAAAGAGGCAGGTTGATGGATTCGGGTTGCTAGAGAACTGTTTTGGGTGTTGCAGGAGAGTTTGGAAGTTCCCAAAAGTGTATCCAATATCTCAGCCCTGCTCTGCTTGGCACTGCCCACTTGCTCTGCCTGTCTCTTCCTTTCCTAAATATGGTGAGAATTTTACTATTGAGTAGATGTCTGGTTTCTGTATTAGAAAGGACAATGTGGCCGAATGGGGTGACTCACACCTGTAATCCCAGCACTTTGGGAGGCTGAGGCAGGCGGATCATGAGGTCAGGAGATCGAGACCATCCTGGCCAACATGGGGAAACCCCGTCTCCACTAAAAATACAAAAATTAGCTGGATGTGGTGGTGGGTGCCTGTAATCCCAGCTACTCAGGAGGCTGAGGCAGGAGAATGGTGTGAACCCGGGAGGCAGAGGTTGCAGTGAGACGAGATCGTGCCATTGCACTCCAGCCTGGCAACAGAGCGAGACTCCATTTCAAAAAAAAAAAAAAAAAAAAAAAAAAGGACAATGCAGCTCATAAAAGGTATTCAAAATATCAAATGAAACAGTTTTAGATGAAAAAGGAAAGAACCACTAACTTTTCCTCTTTGTCCTCATAAGTGTCAGATAGACAATTACAGTACTCTAACATTTTACCATTAGAAACAATGCTCCATTCTGCTAGTAGTGTAGGGTTTACCATCTGATGTCACGAAAGACAATAATTATACTCTACCGCCTTGTTTTTCTTTAAGATAAACTGATACCAGAGCTCTGCAACTCAACCCTGGAAAACTGAAATGAACAGCACAGAAAGTGGATTGCCTGGGTTAATAAGTGGGGCTGAGATGGTTTACTAAAAGTTAAGTATTCTTCCTTT